AGCGAAACAGGGGGCTGTTGAGTAAGTAAATTTGCCTGAGGTTTCCCTCTGTTCAGAAATCAAACCTGAGTCCTTTGCTTGTGAGGCGAGTGCTCTAACCAATACATTACAGTTGTTGGCCGATTTCAGTGGCATTGTTGGTTTGAACCCTATAGAGTAATGGAGGCTGACTGGAGCCCCAGCGTTTGATTGCTGAGAGTCACTGCTGCTTAAATGTACGCATGTTGTCAGAGGCATGAAATTCCACTGTGATATCAGCTTGTTTTAATATTTCAGGATTGTGGAAAGTTTTCTTAAATTCAATCTTTTACCTGAAAGCTGGTTTTCCGCAGTTCTTAAAAAGGTGTAAGGCTCCCACGTTCAAAAAGAACCTGCGTTCCTCCAGGGAGAGAGTGCGTATTCCGTTCCAATAAATCTCTCGGGTGGGAGGCATTGAACTCTCAGTTTGGTTTGGACACTCATAAGCATGGTGATGAGGTTCAGCATGTGTCAGACACCCGGCTGCTGACCAAGGAATTCAAACTGAATTTGAAAATATGGTCACAGTTCTTGCCGTCTTCATTTTAGGACAAGGCTAAGCGGAACTGTGAGCCTCAGACGAGAAGATGATTGGGCTCGGCGGTGATGAAGTGAACAGCCTACAGACACTCCCTATTGTCAAGGGCAGTGAATAATATGAATTGTTAGTTACTTGGGTGAGTTAACACAGCTTGACTGTGGAACAGGATCACAGTTAGGAGTCCTGCACCTTCACGGGAGGAGGTGAAAAGGGGAGAAATTGTGAGGAGAAAACTGTTGTGGACGGGGCGGGAGTGGAGTCTGCAACGTGCTTCCATCTCAAGCCAGACTGATGCCTAATAATTGTTAACTTATTTGATTTAAGTAGGTATGTTAAAACATATTGATTTTGTTGAGCCTGTTTTACGGTTATTCCCACAGTCGTATTGATCTCTTAAAAAAAAAATCCATAATTTATATGACAAGTTGTGCTTGAACGTGAAGCCCTGTGTTAGAATGCTGGTACTTTTATATTGCATTTCAAAAAGGCACAATAGCAGCAGCTTGAGTGATTTTAGCAAGTGGAGTCTCGGCATGTCGAATGCTGTGAGAATAATAATAATAACAATCCTTGCTTTGATACAGCATCTTTCATGTCATGAGGAAATCTCAAAGAGCTTCACTGCAAAATGTAGTGACTATAGATTTGAAGGCAGATGCAGCAGTCCATTTTGTACAGAGCAATGTCCCACAAACAGTCATGAAACAAGTGACCAAGTTTATTGTGTTTGAGCCCACGGCCTTCTGACTGAGAGGTGAGAGTGCTACTAACTGAGCCAGGTTGATACACGTGAGAAACATTGGAAAGATTTATGTCTCTGTCATTTCACAACACACAACACACACACACACGTTCATGCTATCTTTTATCACATCCAGCCTTGCCTATGCCAAAGCTCTGCTTTCTGGACTCCACAGCTCTTCTCTACACAAGCTGTAGACTATCCAGAACTCTGCAAACTGTGTCCTCTCCCACACCAGGCTCAACAAGCCTATCATCCCCATCCATGTTCGGCTCCATTGGCTCCCTATCCCTCAGTGGATCGAGCTCAAGATCCTCTTTCAGATTCAATTCCCACCACGGTCCCTACCCTACCTCTGCAAACTCCTTCAACTCTACAGATCCATTGCTCCCTCGCTTAACAAGCACTGGCCTGGATTATGTTACCACCCTTCCATCTGTGGGGGCTTTCAGCCATTCTGCCCCCGCTCTCTGGGACTCCATCCTGGAGTCCATTCAACTCCCTCCCCTCCCTCAAGGAACATCTCAACAAGTACCTCTATCATCACGAGTTGAGTCATGTATCCTGGCTCAGTAGTAAACACTCTCGCCTCTGGGGCGGAGGGTTGTGGGTTCAGGCCTCATGTCGGAACGTGGAATCATATCATCTAAGGCAGCTGACACCCCAAACAGAGCTGCCGTCCTTTCAATGAGATGTTGAACTGAGGACTGTTCAGATGGATGTTGGGGATTCTGTGGCACTATTTGAAGGAAGAGGTAAGGTTCTCCTGGCGTCCTGGCCAACAAATCTCCCAAGTACACAGTTGGTTACGCACTTCATTGGCTGATTGTGGGACATTGCTGTGCTCAAACTGGCTGCTGCATTTTCCCCCCATACAGTAAAATACAGCCATCCATTTTACAACGTATCATGTGAAGTACTTTGAAACATTTCGATGATGTGATAGGGCGCTGTATCAAATGCAAGGATTATTACTATCTTTCCCGTTCCCATCGGCTCTCAAACCCAGCTCGGGTAAACAGCTGGCATTGTCATGCACTTTGAGACGTTCTCCCATAGGGAAAGATGCTATATAAATGTAAATTGTATTATACTGTAATCACTGGAGCACTCCATTACTACATAATGCCTCACAAGCAAGAGGACTCGGGTTTGGTTCCTGACAGGGCGAAACATTGGGCAAGTTTCCTTACTCTACAACGCCTCTGTTTACCTAGCGGTAAGTAGGAACCCGGTTGTTAGTTGATTGCTGATCGCTTTTCCAATAATTCCTTCAAAACAAATAATAATAATAAATTGGTCACAACTGTTTGTGGAACACTGCTGTGTGCAATTGGCTGCCAAGTTTGCCCACAAAATATACAGTCAATTCACTTTACAGTAAATTCTGTGAAGCGCTTTGAAATATCTCGAAGACTGACAAGGCGCTATATCAAATGCAAGGATTATTATTATTATTTGGAGGATTGTTGGCTGGGACACTGATTAAAACTCCATTCTCTTTCAGAATAGTGCCATGGGATCGTTAATGACCATCTGAATAGGCACAAGGGTTTAACGTCTAATCTGAAGGATGGCATCTCCAACAATGCAGCACACCCCAGCACTGCATTCGAAAATCAGCCTAGACTATGAGATCAAAGTCCCGATGGGGAGCACAACTTTCTGATTCAGAGTCACGCACCTTGAGATAAAAGGCTGTGAGAATGCAGTACTTGATCCAATACTAATAAACTTCCTTGTCAAGAACTCAGTTTAAAAGACTGGCAAATTAGAAAATAAACAGAAGAATGTCTGATGCTGAAATTGGCACTGAACACTTCCAGCTGAGCTATGCCTCAATAGCTACATATAAATCCTACAATCTACAAGCTTTAAAAACCCAGCTAGGTGTTGCTAAGCTATTTCTTCTCGATTTATCCTATGTCAGCTTTGCTGTTTTGAATCTTTTTCATGTCATGCACCAATGGCCCCAGTACTTCATTTGTTTCACCAATAAAAACAAACATGTAGTGCAATGTATATAATAATAATAATTCTGTATTTTATATAGCACCATATCACATTGGTGGGACTCCTCAAAAAACTTCATGGAATAAATTGTAAAGTGAATTGATTGTACATTTTGAATGCAACAGACAGCGCACAGCAGTTCCCACAAACAGTCACAGATTGAGTGACCAAATTACTGTTTTTTGAAGGGATTATTACTACCCCTGAAAAGTGATATGGGTAATGGTGTGCCCTCTACTGCATGAAAAGGGCAGCACCACCGTAGATTAAAATAAAATAATTCAATCCTGATTATCTGCATTATTAAAGTGCATGTTAAAACCAGATGTCATGTCCTGCTGCTTTGCCCAGCATCTAATGAACATGTTTAAAATCGTAGCACTTCAGGAACTACCACACACACTGTCCAGGGGCCTCATGCTCATGTTTTACAGATGCCTTAACACAACACTTCAAGGCAAAATCACACACCACACAGGGGCTTATAGTCATGTTTAAATCGGGCCGAAGCAACACTTGTGGCTGATCATACAGCGCTCTGGGTCTCAGTGTAAAGCGAAACTCTCCAAATAAAAATCAAACAAAAAAAATACCCTGCAATAAGTGTCATGTGTTGTCCAGTGCCATCCATCCGTGTCGAAGGAACACTTTGAGAATAATCGGGCAGGTTATGTTCTTCTGTGCACGAACCGCATACATTTTGCAGCTGAGAGTTTGCAACAGTTTGAATTGTGGTTCTGAGAGCAAGGATTCCCTTACCTCCCTATCCCAGTTTTGGCACTGATATGCGTGTAACTTAGATAGTGCTGACACAATAATGCATTAGAGATTACAGAATGTTAGGATCTCAAATTCTCTCAACACTTCAAATTTAAAAGGCTGCTCTCCCACGGTGGCTCGTTCTTGCATTCACCTGCCGATTGAGGTTACGTTCTGAGCTGAAAAACCTATTCACTTTGGACAGCTGAATTATTTTTACTCACCCATGTTGTTCGCTCACAGAGCAAGTGTGTTTTAGCCTTGCAATTGGGTGTTTCCAGTTTGCTCTTCTTCAAACAAAAGCCTCATCAGTTTTGATAATGACTGATCTCTATTCTCAGCGTCTGATGGCTCCCCTGTGTTCATTGACTGTGTAGATTTTCTAGCTAAAACTTCTGTCTTCTAAAAGCCAATGTTGACAATACTCAGCGCTACGACTCAATTTGTCAAAGTGTACTTTTTCATGACATTTTTAACATCAACCAGGCCTATTTTCTCAAGTAGAAATACATTTGCATTAATGTACTCTCTCTGTATACAATTGCAAGTCCCCAAGGCAACCGACATATGTTCCAGAGCGCAGATTTTATACCTTGCATGCTGGTGTGACATAATAGTGAATTTAAACAAACCTGCTGTCATCCCTTCTATTTTAACTTTTTAAAAAGTCATGAATCTTGATCTGTTAAATTAAACATTGGGCCTGTGAATATAAATAATGGAGGAGGACATATGTATAACCGATCAGTAGCTTTCCCACTGGAGACTTAATAACTTTGTACAGGTTGAAAACAGCAGTTTTCACAGACAAGAAGGAAAAATAACATTCACTTGAAGTCTATGGTAAACTCTTTTGCAGTGCACAGTGGTAAAGCACATTTGCTTAAGGATGGAAGCGTTTGTTTAAGCATTCCTGGGTACACTCACCAAGAACATGTTTCTGAAGCTGCGGAGATCTCCAAAGAATTCTTCAATGGCGATTTTCTTTGGATCAAAGACAAAGTATTCTCCAAGCTCCTCAAAGTGCTTCTCCATGCTTTCATGCATGATAGCTAGGTTTTCGTACTGTTCCCCAGCACACTGGACAAAGCTGTAGCATTGCAAGTTAAGGAACAAAGAAGAGAGGGAAAATATATACTCATATCTAAGAAGCACAACATAGTCACAACATGTTTAGGAAATTATTGAGTTGCCAATGTGCATTATTTTTTTTAACATTCTATATCTTTTACTAAAATCTTTTTTTGTTAGGCCAATAGCTAACAATTAAATATCTGATGGCATATCTGATAAGTGTCCTCTTAGAATAATGAACAATATTTAAGAACAACATTGCTGTATCAAGGAGTTAGTGACCTTGCCAATCTTTCTTCATATTGCATATTCTGTACTTGTAGGAAATAGTGCAAAACACAGCATTCAAAGTGATAATTATGCCTGATGGTATGACCAGATTGTCAGGATTTTTGCTCCCATTGATGTTCCAATTGATGATTCTTTTTGAAGTTAAGCAGGTATTACGATCACATTGAATCTGTTATGAAATAATGCATTTTGCATTCCCTAATCTTATTCAGCTGAAACTCATGTACTTACAATCCCAACTGTGCCATGAATACTTGATTGTAAATTAGAAATGATAATTTATAATAATAATAATTCTAGCATCTAATGTAGCATCTTATGTTGTTGAGACAGGATAGTGGCAGCCATTTTGCAGAAAGCAAGTGCCACAAACATCCATAGAATGAATGATCAATTTTATTTGTTGGCCAGTAAATCTGGATAATCTCTCTCTTCCTTTTGAACAATGCCATGGGATCTTTAACATCAATCTAGACATGCAGTCGGGGCCTCGGTTTAACGTCTCACCTGAAAAACAGATAGTGTAAGATCACACACGATTTTAAAAAATTCCTGAATTCAATTTTAATTTAGAAGTGGTTATTTTTAAGATCACACTAGATGGATTTCAAGACCCTCACAGTTGTCTTCAAATCTCTTCATGTCCTGGTACCTCCCTTCCTCTCCGACCTGATTATTCCCTACCGCACTACCCATTGGCTCCGCTCAACTCGCTCCAGCCTCCTGCTTGCCCCTCGTGTCCTCCGTTCCACCATCAGTGGCCATACTTTCAGCCACTACACCCCAAAACCCTGGTTAGCTTCCTCTATCCCTCTGCCTTGCCTCATCCTTTTCATCTTCAGGTCACGTCTGAAGACCTTCCTCTTTGATTGTGCCTACAGTCACCCACCCCCTCTCCCCAGTTCAGCATCGTGCTTCGCCAATGTCAAGCGTTCTGGGACGCTATCCTGCGTGAGGGCCTCTATATAAATGAACAACAATGTAAGCGGAACGATATAAATCTTGGATCTCAGGATTGGGTATTAATTGCCCTGCCTCACCAACGGTATAAAACTTACATCTGATACAAGTGCAGAATCTCCATACACCACTTATGTTCATTACCATTCAACAGAACTCCTGATCCAAGCTGAACATTTTTGACAAATTTGTTCCATGTTCTACTATACCAGAATCTCATCTTCTACTCGCTGCAAGGTATGGCAGGGCAGATGCTGGCACTGATTAGACGCCAGGGAATAGAAACAACAGCCTTCATTTAAGTTGCATATATCAATGTTATTATAAAATTAGAGTTTTCTAGATAACCCACCTTTTGTCACAACTGCATGCATAATTTATTTTTTGTTTTTAAAAATAAGTGGAAAATATTTTGGATTCTTCAGAAATCCTCTTGTGTGTTGAGTTTACACAAGGGATTATAAAAATAGGTCAGTGTGTAAAAAAAAAATCACTATGGTGCTCTCACATTGTGCAAAGAATTCAGTGTTTAGCTCGATGAAACTGAACACAGAAGCCATGTTCTGTCAAGTTTTTGGTATAGCAGATTTCATTTCAGGAAGACCTCTCGAAGAGCTTCACCTAGGATATACGGTAAAATATTGTGACTGTATTTGGTGGGTGAATGCAATAGCTAAATTGCAGACAGCAATGTCCCCACAAATAGCCATAATAATAATAAGCCATGAAATGAATGATCAATTATATTTGTGGGAGTGTTTGCTAGGACACTGGGAGAAACTCCCTTCTCTTATTGAATAGTGTCATGTGGTTAGGCAGATCAGGCTCCTGGTTTAACATCTCAGCTGAAGGATGGCACCTCCAACTGTGAAGCACATCCCCAGCACCGCATTGCAGTGGCAGTTTAGACTACATCAGTGATGTGAGGTTTAAACCCACAATATTCTGATTTAGAAACAAGAGTGCTACCAAATTAACCAAGCTGACACACAGTTTGATGAAGAATGTTAATACATTCAATAATACCACTAACGCATGGATGTATCCTTTAATAGAATTAACATCAGCAAACAATTATCTCATCCAAATTGGCTAATTGTGGTCAAGTTACAGTGTCAGATATGATGAAGCCTCTGATTCTACAGTGAGGCTTTAACGGGCATGTAGCAGCATTCTGGTGGAGTTCAGATGAGGACAGACACTTCTCTGGCTCTCAGGCACAGTAAAGCATGCCTCGGATTAAAGACACCAAGAAAAGTTTATAGCAACACCAGCCGATTTCTGTTCCTCAACAAATAATCATCAAAGGAACTTATTCCATTTACTATACACGGTTAACAACAACAACAAGATTCCATTTATTGAGCGCCTTTCACGTCGGGAGGACGTCCCAAGGCGCTGTACAGTTGGGTCAGGACCCGAGCAAGGGGGAAACGGTCAGGGTGAGGGGAGGGAAGGGAGGGAGCGAGGAGGGGGTAGAGAGTCGAGAGGAGAGCTGAAGGCACGGTCAAAGAGAAAGGTCTTGAGACCGGCCTTGAAGGAGGAAAGGGAGGAGGCGGCGAAGGCACTGGGGGATAGAGTTCCAGAGCCTCGGGGCTGAGAGACTGAAGGCCCAGCCACCGATAGTAGGGCGGTTGGGGCGGGGGATGTGGAGCAGACCGGAGCCAGAGCAACGGAGGGTACGGGCGGGTAGCTAGGGGGATAGTAGGTCGGAGAGGTAGGAGGGAGCAAGGCCGTGAATGGCCTTGTAGGTGAGGATGAGGATCTTGAATTCGATCCTCTGGGGGATGGGGAGCCAGTGGAGGCGAGCGAGGGTGGGAGTGATGTGGTCCCGAAGCCTGGTGCGGGACAGTACACGAGCTGCAGAGTTCTGAATGACCTGCAGCTTGTGGAGGGAGGTGCCGGGAAGGCCGGCGAGGAGAGAGTTCCCATAGTCCAGCCTTGAGGTGATAAAGGCGTGGACCAGAGTTTCAGCAGCGTGAGGGGCGAGGTAGTGCCGTAGTCTGGCGACAGGTGATGGAAGGCGGTGATGGAAGGCGGTGCCAGTTGTGGCGCGGATATGGGGGAGAAAGGACAGCTCAGGGTCGAACAGAATCCCGATGTTCCTGACTGGCTTTGAGAGGTGGAGAGTGCAGCCTTGGATGCTGATGCTGTCAGCGCCTGAGGTGCGGAGGCGCTGACGTGAGCCAATCAGGAGGGCCTCAGTTTTGCGCACGTTGAGCTGGAGAAAGTTATCTCTCGTCCAGGACTCGATGTCGGACAGGCAGGCTGTCAGGACATCGGTGGTCGTGGAGTTGAGGGTAGAGGAGGAAAGGTAGAGTTGGGTGTCATCCGCATACATGTGGAAGTTAACCCCATGTCTGCGGATGATGTCACCAAGGGGGAGCATATAGAGGGTGAAGAGGAGGGGACCGAGGACAGAGCCTTGAGAGACACCACACGAGACAGTGCGGGGGCCGGAGGAAAAACCATTTGTGGAGACAAAGTGAAGACGGTGGGAGAGGTACGACCTAAACCACTCAAGGACAGGGCCTTGAAGGTTTAGGTGGTAGGACAAGCGGTGGAGGAGGATAGCATGGTCGACCGTATCGAATGCTGCCGATAGGTCGAGGAGGGCGAGGAGGCAGAGGGAGCCCTGGTCACAGATGGTCAGGATGTCATTGGTGACCTTGACCAGGGCAGTTTCTGTGCTATGGGCAGCACGGAAACCCGATTGAAGGGGTTCGAATAGTGAATGGTTGGAGAGGAAAGAGCGCAGCTGAGAGGCGACAACTCATTCCAGGACCTTGGATAGGAATGGGAGGTTGGAGATGGGCCGGTAGCTTGATAGCTGCGACGCATCAAGGGAGGGTTTTTTTAAGGTGGGAGTGATGGTGGCAGTTTTTAAGGGAATGGGAATAGAGCCAGAGGAGAGGGACAGGTTGACGATGTCTGTGATATGTGGGGCAAGGAGGTGGAGCTGGGAGATAAGGAGTGGAGTGGGGATGGGGTCAAGGGAGCAGGTGGTAGGTTTCAGGGAGAGGATGAGTTTGGTGACAGAGGATGGGGAAACGGGTACGAAGGTGTGTAGGGGAGGATGGGTAGGAGTCAGAGTGTGGGAGGGAAGGGGTGGGTGGTGGGTGGATGTTGGAAGGGAAGTGACCGCAGAGCGGATTCCCTTGATCTTGGATTCAAGGAAATCCAGCATCTCCTCGCAGTGAAGGTTAACCACCAGAAGACACAGAGATTCCTTCATCACTGAGATCCTCTCAGCTCCAGCAGTTTTGCAATAACCCCAAGCGATGGTTCAATTAATCGTTGTACTTTGAGGATCAAGAATAAAAGCCCACGGCCAAGTTCTATACTGGATCTTAAAAAAAAGTAAAGGAACAATGCTTCCAAAGATAATACTTTTGTTCTAATCTGTGCCAAAGAAATTTCCTTGTGTTTTTTTATATCATTTAATTTTTTCCAGGATCTCCAGAAATTACCTGCTTACATTTTCCCTCTAACTACAAACCAAAAGGTTGCCCAAACTCAAGCTTTGCATCACCTAACTGGTGCTTCTTGATATATGGTTCCACTCTCCCTGTACATTCAACCTTGGTGTCTTTACTTTCTCAACAACAAAATGATCTCCGGTCACCACTCTCTCATTGATTTTGCTTTTTGGCTTCTGTAACTGCAGGATAATTTAGGTTGCAGATTTATTTACAGCTCCTATTTGTGTAGGCTCATAGGAAGAGTTTAAAGGAGGTAAAATAATCAACTCTTTTCATTATAATCTG